ATAATTGCTAATAATTGCTAATAATTGCTAATAATTGTTAATAATTGCTGTAATTGCTAATAATTGCTAATAATTGCTAATAATTGCTAATAATTGCTGCTAATAATTGCTAATTGTTAATAATGCTAATAATTGCTAAGAATTGCTAATAATTGCTAATAATTGCTGATAATTGCTAATAATTGCTATAATTGCTGATAATTGCTAATAATTGCTAATAATTGCTAATTGCTAATAATTGCTAATAATTGCTAATAATTGGTGACTACTTGCTAATAATTGGTAATAATTGCTATAATTGCTAATAATTGCTAATAATTGCTAATAATTGCTAATAATTGCTAATTGCTAATAATTGCTGCTAATTGCTGATAATTGCTAAGAATTGCTGATAATTGCTGATAATTGCTAATAATTGCTAATAATTGCTAATAATTGCTAATAATCTCTAATAATTGCTAATAATTGCTGTTAATTGCAATAATTGCTGATAATGGCTAATAACAATAATTGCTAATAATTGCTAATAATTGCTAATAATTGCTGATAATTACTAATAATTGCTAATAATTGCTAATAGTTGCTAATAATTGCTGCTAATAATTGCTAATATTTGCTAATAACTACTAATAGTTGCTAATACTTGCTAATAATTATTAATAATTGCTAATAATTGTTGATAATTGCTAATAATTTGTGATACTTGCTAATAATTGCTAATAATTGCTAATAATTGCTAATAACTGCGAACGATTGCTAAGAATTGCTAATAATTGCTAATAATTGCTGATAACTGCTAATAACTGCTAATAATTGCTAATAACTGCTAATGATTGCTAATAATTGCAAATAATTGTTTATATTTGCTAAGAATTGCTAAGAATTGCTAATAATTGCTAATAATTGCTGATAATTGCTAATAATTGCTAATAATTGCTGATAATTGCTAATAATTGCTAATAATTGCTAATAATTTGTGATACTTGCTAATACTTGCTAATAATTGCTAATGCTTCCTAATAATCGCTAATTATTGCTAATAATTGTTAATAATTGTTAATAATTGCTAATAATTGCTAATAATTGCTAATAATTGCTAGTAATTGCTAATAATTGCTAATAATTGCTGATAATTGCTAATAATTGCTAATAATTGCTAATAATTGCTAATAATTGCTATAATTGCTAATAATTGCTAATAATTTGTGATACTTGCTAATACTTGCTAATAATTGCTAATGCTTCCTAATAATTGCTAATAGTTGCTAATAATTGTTAATAATTGCTAATAATTGCTAATAATTGCTAATAATTGCTAGTAATTGCTAATAATTGCTAATAATTGCTAATAATTGCTAATAATTGTTAATAATTGCGAATAATTGTTAATAATTGTTAATAATTGCTAATAATTGCTAATAATTGCTAATCATTGCTAATCATTGCTAATAATTGCTAAAAATTGTTAATAATTGCTAATAATTGCCATTAATTGCTAATAATTGCTAATAATTGGTGATACTTGCTAATAATTGCTAATAATTGCTAATAATTGCTAATAATTGCTAATAATTGCTAATAATTGCTGATAATTGCTGTTAATTGCTAATAATTGCTGATAATGGCTAATAATTGCTAATAATTGCTGATACTTGCTAATAATTGCTAATAGTTGCTAATAATTGCTAATAATTGCTAATAATTGCTCATAATTGCTAAGAATTGTTAAGAATTGTTAATAATTGCTAATAATTGCTAATAATTGCTAATAATTGCTAATCATTGCTAATAATTGCTAATAATTGTTAATAATTGCTAATAATTGCTATTAATTGCTAATAATTGCTAATAATTGGTGATACTTGCTAATAATTCCTAATAATTGCTAATAATTGCTAATAATTGCTAATAATTGCTAATAATTGCTAATAATTGCTAGTAATTGCTAATAATTGCTAATAATTGCTAATAATTGCTAATCATTGCTAATAATTGCTAATAATTGTTAATAATTGCTAATAATAATTGCTAATAATTGCTAATAATTGGTGATATTGCTAATAATTGCTAATAAGTGCTAATAGTTGCTAATAATTGATAATTGCTAATAATTGCTAATAATTGCTAATAATTGCTAGTAATTGCTAATAATTGCTAATAATTGCTAATAATTGTTAATAATTGCGAATAATTGTTAATAATTGTTAATAATTGCTAATAATTGCTAATAATTGCTAATCATTGCTAATAATTGCTAATAATTGTTAATAATTGCTAATAATTGCTATTAATTGCTAATAATTGCTAATAATTGGTGATACTTGCTAATAATTGCTAATAATTGCTGCTAATAATTGCTAATAATTGCTAATAATTGCTAATAATTGCTAATAATTGCTAATAATTGCTGATAATTGCTGTTAATTGCTAATAATTGCTGATAATGCTAATAATTGCTAATAATTGCTAATAATTGCTAATAATTGCTGATACTTGCTTGCTAATAATTGCTAATAGCTAATAATTGCTAATAATTGCTAATAATTGCTAATAATTGCTAAGAATTGTTAAGAATTGTTAATAATTGCTAATAATTGCTAATAATTGCTAATAATTGCTAATAATTGCTAATAATTGCTAATAATTGCTATTAATTGCTAATAATTGCTAATAATTAATAATTGCTAATAATTGCTAATAATTGCTGATAATTGCTAAGATTTGCTGATAATTGCTAATAATTGCTAATAATTGCTAATAATTGCTAATAATTGCTAATAATTGCTGATAATTGCTAATTGCTGATAATTGCTAAGAATTGCTGATAATTGCTGATAATTGCTAATAATTGCTAATAATTGCTAATAATCTCTAATAATTGCTAATAATTGCTGTTAATTGCTAATAATTGCTGATAATGGCTAATAATTGCTAATAATTGCTAATAATTGCTGATACTTGCTAATAATTGCTAATAGTTGCTAATAATTGCTAATAATTGCTAATAATTGCTAATAATTGCTGATAATTGCTAAGAATTGCTGATAATTGCTGATAATTGCTAATAATTGCTAATAATTGCTAATAATTGCTAATAATCTCTAATAATTGCTAATAATTGCTGTTAATTGCTAATAATTGCTGATAATGGCTAATAATTGCTAATAATTGCTAATAATTGCTGATACTTGCTAATAATTGCTAATAGTTGCTAATAATTGCTAATAATTGCTGATAATTGCTAATAATTGCTAATAATTGCTGATAATTGCTAATAATTGCTAATAATTGCTGATAATGGCTAATAATTGCTAATAATTGCTAATAATTGCTAATAATTGCTAATGATTGCTAATAATTGCTGATAATTGCTAATAATTGCTAATAATTGCTGATACTTGCTAATAATTGATAAAAACTGCTGATAATTGCTGATAATTGTTAATAATTGCTAATAATTGCTAATAATTGCTAGTAATTGCTAATAATTGCTAATAATTGCTAATAATTGCTAATAATTGTTAATAATTGCTAATAATTGTTAATAATTGTTAATAATTGCTAATAATTGCTAATAATTGCTAATAATTGCTAATAATTGCTAATAATGCTAATAATTGCTAATAGTTGCTGATAACCCTAAACGTTTATGGTTTAGGCCCGAATCTGCACCAGTTCGGTCTGTATTCTAGGCCCAGAATAGGGGGTACCTCGAGATCGGCCTTCCGGCCTAATAAAAACGCTATTCTATGAACAGAATTTGTCACCCAAAACGCACACCCCAAAATCCAAGAAATTTGGCTTTAAACGCTAAACCTTAAACGTTTATGGTTTAAGCCCGGATCTGCACCAGTTCCGTTTATATTTTAAGCCCAGAATGGAAGGGGCCTCGAGATCGGCCCTCCGGCCGAATAAAAACGCTATTCTATTAACAGAATTTGTTACCCAAAACGCCCACCCCAAAATCCAGGAAATTTGGCTTTAATTATTTTATGGTTTAACCCGAATCTGCACCAGTTCCGTTTGTATTTTAGGCCCAGAATGGAGGGGACCTCGAGATCGGCCCTCCGGCCCAATAAAAACGTTATTCTATGAACAGAATTTGTCACCCAAAACGCCAACCCCAAAATCCAGGAAATGTGGCTTTCAGTTTAGCAAACCCCCATTCAAGGTTCATTAACAGGGTTTTCCAAACCCTATGGTTTAGCAAACCCCCATTCAAGGTTTATTAAACCCTAATTTAGGGTTTAGCAAACCCTAGGGTTTAGCAAACACCCATTCAGGGTTTATTAACTAATTTAGGGTTTAGCAAACCCTAGGGCTTAGCAAACCCCCACTCAAGGTTTATTAATTCTTAATTTAAGGTTTAGCAAACCCTAGGGTTTATTTAGGGTTTAGCAATCCTAGAGTTTAGCAAACCCCATTCATTTAGGGTTTAGCAAACCCTAGGGTTTAGCAAACCCCCACTCAGGGTTTATTAATTCTTAATTTAAGGTTTAGCAAACCCTAGGGTTTATTTAGGGTTTAGCAATCCTAGAGTTTAGCAAACCCCATTCAGGGTTTATTAAACCCTAATTCAGGGTTTAACAAACCCTAGGGTTTAGCAAACCCCCATTCAGGGTTTATTAAACCCTAATTCAGGGTTTAGCAAACCCCCATGCAAGGTTAAAAAACTAAAAAAAAACTAAAAAAAAATAAAAAAATAGAAAAAAGGCCCAAAAATTCAAGAAAACCCAAAAAAAACCCAAAAAAAACCCAAAAAAAACCCAAAAAAAAAAACCCAGTTTAGGATTCTCAAAAAGGCACCCCGCACACGAAGCAAGCTCAATAAACCCTGAACCCTAAACCCTAAACCCTGAACCCTAAACCCTAAACCCTGAACCCTAAACCCTAAACCCTGAACCCTAAACCCTAAACCCTGAACCCTAAACCCTAAACCCTGAACCCTAAACCCTAAACCCTGAACCCTAAACCCTAAACCCTAAACCCGAGGCCCTGGCGCTGGCCCTCGAGGGCCCTGCGGCCCAGAAAGTTCGGGGCATCGGCGCCTTCGGGCGCAGAGTTCGTGCTTTGTGAACTCTTGTGTCATAGTAGCGTCATAGGGAAGTCAGGGGCTGTGGGGTCTAGGGAGGCCTGGGCTTTTCCTTAGAGTTTAGGGTTTAAGGTTGAGGGTGGCCTAACTATGAGTTGCTAGTTTTTTGTGGTTTCTGTTCGTGCGTCATGCGTGTTGAGACGGCGTTGAGCAAGGAAGTAATCTTGTTGGTCATCATGTAGAATGAGCTTTATAGACTCTGCTAAACTATGTTCTGGCCGTTTACGCTTGTCGTCGTGCCCTGTATCATAGGAACCACAAGTAAAGTACAGCCGTAGTGCAACACCACGGACATAAGTGAGCAATAGTGTCACGACGAAGACAGTCAGGGTCCTTATCATAACATTCCTGTGTGGAGGGGTTTCTGGCCCTCAACCGCAACCATTAAACTCGAAGCCCTTATAAACTGCGAACCCTAAAACACTAAAGCCGTAAACCCTAAACTCCTGAAGCCCTAAACCGCCTAACCCCCCCCCCCCCCCAAAAAAAAAAAAAAAACAGAGCTCCACTTGCAAGCCGTACCTGTCCGTTTCAACTTCGAGAGCACTGTGAAGCCGATGCCGGCCTCTGCAGGGGTCCAACAAAGTCGATGCAATCGGTACCCTAAACCCCCTAAACCCTAGGCTTACGGTTCAGGATTTAGTGCGTAGGGCTTGAGGGTTTGCGGTTTTGTTTTACGGTTTAGGATTTACGGTAACATGGTTTTGGAGTTTTACTGAAGACGATTGAAGGGTGTGCTCGACGGAACAGCAGTTCGACCCTTGTGCTTCGCTGCTCCCATCTGCCTCCAATGGAGTGTCCCGGTTGCTGAGATCCGCGTGCCAGTGGCGGAGGTTCTTTTCCGCGGACAGGCTGTCTATGGCCCTATACCTTAGCTGCTCCTGCTGATAGACAGAAACTTTGATGGTCCCTTCCTTCCCATAGTTCAGGGTACGCCACGTGATGCAGGGCTCTGCAAAGCTTATTGTGGCCGGCAGACCGTTAGACAGACCTACAGACAGACGGTCAGACGGACGTATATGTAGGTACGTAAGATGCATCTACACATAGCTATACAGCAAAACATAGTCTTGCACAGGAATATCATCTAAATTTTGATCACCTACAACACTTTCTACTCCCATGTCTCCGCCTCTGAATTGGAAGCTCGAATCTCTTGTGCACCCCAGGTGCCCTGCATCCCGCACTGGAATGCCGTCAAGCTCGGAAAGCTTTGCCCCGGCTTCGTGCACGGCGCGGTAGACCGCAACTGCAGAATCCGCCGGAGTGTGCAGCTCCTGGATGTTGAAGGTTTAGGGCGGGTTTCGGAATCGCGGATGCCGGGTACAGGATTTTTTCCGTGTTGGGGCCGAAGGTTTCCGGGGCCTGTCGGAGTCGCAACAGTCCGCATAAAAGAGTCGGTGGCTGCCACCATTGCCGGGGACACTGAAGGTGTCTCTATTGCGACAGCAGACTACTTCTGGTGCTTCCACTCCCAGCCATGAACAAAATATCCGACAAGAAGCCGCATCATCAAGAATGTTTCGGGTAACTTCGAAAGAAGGCAATGGAATTCGTGTCGCTAACGTACCTAACTTCAACCGAGGCTCAAAGCCGAGCTCACCGACGAAGGTGAGCCGAAGGACCAGGAGCGGATGTCCGGCGATCTCCAAGTGCTTTGCACCGGAGAAAGGCAGAGAATCATCACTCCTAGCAATATAGTAGGGGCCTTATTCATCAGAATAGGATTCCTTTAAAGGTTTCCTTTAAGGGACCTATAGGGGTACTATAATATAGGGGCTTTAATGACTAGAATAGGGTTTTAGGGTCCATTATTCTGTAATCAAACAAGGACCCCTCCCCCCAAAATAGTATAGGTAATTATGTAGGCCCCTATATTACTTCTCTCTAGGTCGGCTTTCGGGTTCAGGGCCTCGGTTCGCAACATGAGCTGAAGTTCTACATTCAGCTGTGTCTATATTACCTATAGTCTCCATTGTAGTTCCTTTTTTGGGGGTTAGCCAAACTCTTGATTGTGGGATCCTAACCACAAAACTGGTTAACCAAAAAAGCGAACTACAATGGAGACTATGGGTATATTATATGAAGAATGCAAAAAGTGATGCAGATGAAGCCGAGGCTCATATCTGAGTCAGTCAAGGACTGAAGCAAGCGACGGCTATGGGGCCCCTGCACTGAGATGAGGGTCATAGACTCACTGTGATCCTCGATGTGTGCATCAACGTTCTGGTCCTCCAAAACTTTTCGGATCCAGGCTAAGTCCTTTGTGGCCGTGTTGCCACCTGCCGCGAAGTAGTAGTAATTCTCGCCCTTGGAGTTCTGCAACTTCGTTACGGTGAGATCGGCCTCCACACCACCACGAGAGTTGCACAAAGGCGTGTAGGTGACGGATCCTATTCGCTTGCCCTCCATGTCTGCACCACACAGGTACTGAACGGCTTGGTCTGCGTCCGGGCCGTTCAAGTAGAACTTGCCGAAGTAGGACTGGTCGAAGATGGCCACGCCTTCGCGTGCGGCACGGCACTCCTCCGCAACAGTGGCATGACTCTGAGGCCAGTCAAAGGTCAGCTCACCCTCCACAAGGTCCAGGTACTCGTGGCTTTCATGCTTGGGAATATCGGGATGATCCTCTTCGCCCAGTCGCCAAGCGCCCTCCTCATAGGCACCATAGAAGTCATAGCTTAGGGCCTCCTGGCTGCCCGAGGAGGGGACAAACCAACCCGGCCGCTCAAAGCCGTGACGCGCTTGGTAAACACATCCGCGGCTCAGCAGCTCATCGTAGAGAGCTGACTTCCGGCTGCCACGGCCTCTAGCTCTTTCTACTACCGTTACGTATATATTTCATTTTATTCTATATCATGTAATGTCACATTATACAGTACATTATATTGGTGTTGCATTCTGTACCTTGTAGCAGAGTAAGTAGTGTTACTGTGGTGGCAAAGTCACAGTGAGGCGAGGACGCCGACGACAACGCCAACAACCACAAACGACCCTCACTTAACATGCTATGTGCATTTGTGCAAACTCGCACAAGCAAGTATGTTCATAACCTTACAGTTAACTGTACAATGAAGTCTGTACCCACAGCTACATACAGTGTATGCACATACATACTTACATACGTACATACATACTGTACATACATAATACATAAACACACATATACATACACACATCCATCCATCCGTCCGTGCGTCCACGCATGCATGCAGACTCAGACAGACAGACAGACAGACAGACAGACAGACAGACAGACAGACAGTCAGACAGTCAGACAGTCAGACAGTCAGACAGTCAGACAGTCAGACAGTCAGACAAACAAACAGACGGACAGACATATACACACACATAAGTTTATATATATATGTGTATATATATATATATATATACACATGTAAAAATACATACATATGCATACATGCATGCATCCATCCATACATACACACATACATACATACATCTACACTTTCACACACACGTACACACGAAATAAAAAGGACTTCGCATGCACAAGGACAAACGTAGATGATTGCAAGCAACGCATCTATATATGTATGAATGTATGTATGTATGTTTACATATGCACAGACTAGATATTCACACGCACACACACACACACACGCACACACACGCACACAAACACACACACACAAACACACACACACACAAACACACACACACACACACACAGACACACACACACACACACACACGTACGTATGTGTATATATATACACACACATCCAGATTGAGACATGTACACGCAGAGTAACCCTTTCGCTGATTGAAAAGATCCCGTAGGTTCCGAGGCTCCCACCTGCCAAGGACTCATCATGAGGGAAGACGATGGCATACGTCTTCGCGTAGCTCTCGTGGGTGCGATCTCGGACCCAACGGCTGTCGGACACGCTCTCAGGGTGGAAGCGTGCGCAGTCGAAGCTGAAGAGATCCACCTCAGGGGATCCGGTCAGGATCCACTTCGTCAACTCGCGGCCGACGCCTGAAAGCAGAGGTCTTATATGAGTCTGATTAGCTATAGGGCCCTAACTTAGAGGAACCAGAGCAAGGGTCGGGCTAGAAGCATGCTTGGAGGATCATGGGACGTAGTAAGTAAAGTTATAAGTACCTTTAATTGGGGTTATAAGTAGCTATGAAGTAGAGTTACCCTAATTCTAACCCTAGTTACTAAGTCCCATGATCCTTTAAGTAGACCCTAAACCCCTTCTTATACTGGAACCCCTATAGATCCCTTTAAAGGAGCCCTTTAAGGAACCCTAGTTACTAAGTCCCATGATCCTTTAAGTGCTTTTTGTGGGATGCCGACTCCCTCAGTCGACCCGAGGCCCAGCCTCCACCCAGCATCATACCCATGGAATTGAAGCCACAGGCCTGGTTCATTGTTGGGATAGGATTAAAAATGTACTTGTTTATTCCTTATTGGGTTTCAGTACCCATAAAAATGTAAAATGTTACCCAACTATGACAAAGAGGCGTGGTAGAAGCCGCGGACGCCGGGATGAGGGCCCATGAGGGGCTTGTGATCCGGCGTGAAAGACTCCGGTCCACAAACGGTCGACTTGATCCCAGTCTCCTCGATCACAGGGCATCGCTGCATGTGCCCAGCCAGGTTCTGCCCAAAAGTGTCGTAATCGAGCTCGAAAAGCCCGAAAGAAAAGCCGGGATCGACATCTGGCCAGAATTCGGGGTTCTGTTCATAGCCGCCGATCGCCATGGAGTCGCCCTGCGTCTTCAAATAGACGCTAAGGTCATGGTCACGCACATTGGGCAAACCGCTGTGCATGCCGGCAATGGGCTCGGTCAGGACCATGGCGTGCTTCATGGCCTTTAGAGGTATCTGCACACCTCACAGGATCCGTAGCATTCAACCCGACTGGTGAGCAACACAAATTTGGTCATCCTACACTGTCCTACAACTCTACATTTGCACCCGCCACGAATTTACGAGTAGACCCATATCATCCGAATCCCAAAACACTGAAGTATGAGGGGTCCCTCAGGTGCACCGGCCTACCATGTCTGCGATCTCGTTAGCCCATGCGCCGCAGGCATTGACAACTGTGGGGGTCTCGATCCGCTTGCCGCAGGCCGTCAGAACCTGGTTTAGGTTTAGGTATTAGGACTTAGGGTTTGGAGTTTATTGTAGGACATATAAATAATAATATGATTTCCTTCTCAAACAGTACTCAAACATTGAGTTCCTTAAAAGAGCCTAGGAGCTGCTTTGATTCGCCTTGCAGGTGCTGACCCAGCTGTGAGGTAGTCCTCGACCTCTATACCGCTGACACCGACATTCTCGTACACTCCACCACCGAACTTCCGGGAGGCCTTCGCATAAGCGTTGCAGATGCTGGTTGGATCAATGGTACCATCACCTGGGGAGTACACACCCCCATAGATGTCGTCAACCCGCAGGAGCGGATGTACATCCTTCACCTCCGAGGGTGATAGGACGTGGCTTTCAATGCCGAAATACTTGCCTCGGTTGCTGGGCGGTTTCTGGAATGGCTCGGCATTCTGGTTAGGCTTCAGCGCACTGGGAAGAGACACAGAACAGCATTCAACTGGAAACTAGAACACTAGCTTTTCCCGAGCACACAAGTTAGTGCATGTCCGACAAAGCTGAGGGAAGCAAACCTCGCCCAAGCTCCAACATCTGCCTCCAAAGTACCGGGGTCACGACATGACTTGTACGACTCATTCAACACTTGATTTCTTGCATTGAGTTTCTTGATTGAATGGAATTACTCCCAGAAAACCACCGAAGAAGGCTTGAGCTCGAAATCGTTCGCGGCGAACTGTACGATCGGAACGAAACCTGCAGCAACCGAATCATGACGAGCTGAAGACCTCAACCAATAATTCCAACGAAGCGGTCACAACAAACATTACTAACTATTCCTACTCCCAAGCTCCAAATGCAAAGACACTTACAAAATCCACCAGCACCTCACCCAGAATGTTTCCTGTGCAACTGCGGCTTACCACAATTGCTACTCTGGTTTTAACTATTGCTAAGGCTCGTTTCGTTAACTGCTCACATGCTTGCTGTGGCAACAAGCGGCCAGTCTCGGCGAAGCGCTTGTATTCGGCAAGCCGCTCAGCATTGGTCCCCACGAAGAGGCCACCTGCAGTCTTGGGTATTTGCACGATGGGATTTTGGACTCGTATGCTTAATTAATGCTGCTCGCAACACTGTCCCCATTGTTCTCATACTCAAATTTGGCAACATGTTCCCTATCCCTATCCCTATCGTGACGTTCCTTGGCATACAGGGAGACGGGCTGGGGACCCAGAGCCTTGTGACAAGGACCAGGCTCCAGACTTAGGGCATACTTAAAGGATCATGGGACTTAGTAACTAGGGTTATACTTAGGGTAACTCTACTTATAACTACCTAGAACTCCAATTAAGGTACGTATAACCTTACTTACTAAGTTCCATGATCCTCCAAGTATCGGGTGCCTCACAACCGTAGGAAACTGGAAGCCAGGTCCGGTTGGCCCAGGCTTACATTGTAACGCCAAGCTTCCTGCACTTGTCTGTCTTAGACGTATGTAGGAACCTGATTAAGAAACCCTGGGCATATAAACCCCAAACAGTAGGGTTCATACGGGCATATAACCCCGAAATAGTAGGATTCATATACAGTAGAAGCCAGAAAGTTGGAACATCACTGGCCTCATGCCCTTGAAGTAAAATATAGGGAATCCCAGCATGAATCATCCTAAATCTATGTTCCAACTTTCTGGGGTTCACTATAAGGAACCCACATGACCCACATTACGTCGCTTCTCAGCTTCTGAGCTCTGGTGATCCATTCCCCTAAGGGTCCATGTACCTAAATGGTATATACATTGGCCTTAAAGTAGTCCCTATATGGGTACATTGGGCCCAAAGTATATACTATTTGGGTACATGGACCCTTAGGATTCCGGCAAGATACAGATCTCTCGGGCGACCTCCCTGGGAAAGTGTAAACCCTTCTGCGAGTCTTTTAGGTTTTGCCATTATAGGGTTTAGGGTTTAGGGAATTTAGGGTCTAGGGTATAGGTTTCCGCTAAAACTGGAACCTAGCTTATCAAAACCCTAAACCCCCAAACCCCACAACACTAAACCCCACACCCTAAACTCTGAACCCATCTGAACCCTATACACCTTATAAGCCCTAAACCATCACACACCAAAAGCCCGAAATCATCACAAGCTGGGGAGGCCGCCGTTCTCTGTCCAGCTAGCGATCTCGGTCTCCTCCTCGAGCTTCTTGCACATCTCGCCTAATTGGGTTTAGGGTTTGGGGCTTAGGGTTTAGGGCTTAGGGTCTAGGGTTTCAAGGGGCTTTCAGGGGATGCTTCGGAAGGTTCACAGCTGCATGTGTGCCGGTTGTTGCTTCGGCTTCGCAAAGTTGTCGAGGATCTTTTGCATCAGTTGCAAGCTCCATCCCTCCAAACGGCCCTCACCCAAAGAACAGGGAAGACTGAACCCCCAAATCCAGAACCCCAGCACAACTATTTTAGAACTTCGGAACTTCATGGAAATGCGAGCCACCGCTCCGAAGCTTAGCGCTTTGAGGATCTTCAGGACCCGGGTGACTGAGGCCCCTGCGCGAGTAGGCGTTGAGCTCGATGTCAGCGTCTGTGGGGCGAAGCCTCCACAGCATGCCTGCGGAATGCCATGTCCTCAGCCAAGATAGGGATTCAGGTCACCGGGAAGTAAAGAGTAGTGACTATGAGGTAGACAAAGCCCCCTTTGAGGCTCCATTACAACCCTGCAAACCCTCGACCCAGAGACCCTGCAGAGGAATCCTGCCCTACACTCTAAAAATCCCAAAACCCCGAGAGCTCTAAAGCCCTAAACCCTAAAAACCCTGAAACCTGCAAAGCCCTAAGCCTGAGGGCAGATCGTACCAGCTGTGAGCTGATGCCGCTCCAAAAGGACGGCATTGACCCCCTCCGGCAAATCTGCTTGGGGCTGTTTGGCACATACCTAGAGTCTCCATTGTAGTTCCTTTTTTTGGTCAACCAAAAACTATATTATAGGGTCCTAACCATAAAACTGGCTAGCCAAACAAAGGAACTACAATGGAGACTATAGGTGTGGGTTCGGAATTTAAGGTTAGTTCTATGAGGCTTGGGGTATTTGGCACTTCTACGTGAACATGCAGGTACAAGGTGGACGTACATGCCTGTTTATCTGCTTATACGTGTACATATATTTTACAACTGTACACATGTGATATGCGATATGTATATACAAACAGACAAGCAGGGTTCTCCATCCATCCATACTACCTGCCACCTACATACATATGTACATACATACCTGCCTATGTACATACGTACATACATACCTACATAATTACGCACCTACATGCATGCATGCATGCATACATACGTCGACGCGTATACATACGTACGAAATACATACATAGCCACAAAAACAGGCAGCTCGACGACTTCGTCAGTTACATCTTGAGCAGTGCTCTTTTCCGCAAAGGAACATTGAGGCTCTACGGTGTGTTGGCCAATAACTCGCAGTACACATCGATCCGCTAGATAAACGAAGAATCTCTGCAAACCCTGGCATGCCACGTCCTGAAGCCTTCTGTACAAACAAATTGCCTGAAGTTCCTGCATCCCCTAAACTTCTTAAACTCCTCAACCCTAAAAGCATTCTTGAACCCCTGAGGAGCGGCCTCCTTGCGCAAGTGGTACAGAGTTGACCTGCAAAGGACCCATCCACGTCTGCATTCAATATCAGGGCTTTTGTTAAGCTGGGTTGGCCTTTAAACACCCTGAAAAAGATTTAAATATAGGGTCCCTTATAAACCCAAAATAAGGAACATAAAACAAGTCCCAAAATCCAACCTAGTAAGACAATCTTTGCGACTGTATTGTAACATAACTATATCATAAGGAACGCTACGGAGTAAGATCATGAGCTATTTTGGCTTCTGAGTTACCTTCAGGTGAATTTTCAATAGGTGGCATTTCTTGCGTCCAACATCGATGGCAAATCCACCATCAAGGCCTGACAGCCTGCACTAGCAGGTTTAGGGGTTCGGGTTCAAGGGTTTGATATAGAGGGCCCAGTATACTATATTTACAATAAGAAATCGCCAAATAGTATAGGTACTTATTATAAGGCCGGTATAGCAGGGTCTAACATTTCGAAATCTCCGGGCAGCTGCTGATGTGTGGGTCTGTCAGTGAGTGCGAAGGCTTGGCTTGGTGATGAGGCTCCACGATAGGCAATCCTGAATCAGTAGTCTCTGATGGCCTTAATGATAAGAGTAAGGTTTTTGGGTATTGGGTATATGATCTGGAATAAGTACATTTTAAACCCGGAAGGATTTTCTTCTTCTGGAAGCCAATGACAATACTGTGAATTTTCTTTGCGGTCCCAACTGTCGCATAAAGAGGATGAGCGAAAGATCCGCGATATGGTGGCCGTAATCACTAGAATAAGATTTCGGGTTCGAGAAAGAGCCATGCAATGGCATCACCGATGATGAACCTGGCGATGGACAGCTGCAGCTATGGCCAGAACCAACACCACGACGTCGACTGTCACAGAACATCCGGCGAGTACCATGCGCAGCCCCAAAACGGAGACGATGCAGAATGATGATATTATCATCCTCTTCTTATTCCATACGGTTGTACCGTCACTGGCTGGTAGACTACGATCTCATAACCCTATCCCCTCAGGGCTTGGCGTTCCGATGGACCCGCCCCCGATGATGACCACATCGGCCTGCTCGGATTAAGGGTGCTTACACTTTCATGGTAGGGGTTGCGGAGGGTTTGAAGACCGGAACCGAACTTGGGTTTTCGGTGGGGGCTTGCGGAGTCCCGAAATGCCTCAGCCATCGTTCCCCGCCCGATCATGAACCCTGAGCTCAGAGCTAAGTAGCTGCATCCGACGCCCTAAAGCCGTCCTTATCGATACCAGCAAACAGCCCTGAAGCCAAAGTAGTGATGCGTCCACCGCGTTCCTAGAAGGAGAGACCGAGACTTGTGGCTTCGAAGCAACCAGGGAGAAGAAGTCTAAACTTGTGTTTCTGAATGGTTCCTTTAAGGAACAGGATGGAATAGGTCCCCTCGAAAAGGATTGACATATATTAACAGTATGGTACTGCAGAACCCACTGACTTAGCGGTCATTAGTTAGACTTAGATCCCGGATCCGACAAGATATTCCCGAAAAGCCGTATAACCTGGGCCCGCCTAGACTGTCAAACTTCAGCCATAAAGTCCCAAACCCTAAGCCTGAAATCCTGAAACTGAATCTAGGATGCCCAGTAACCTAGGAGTAAAAAGGGCTCCCTTTTCGGTATTGGGTAACTTTATAGGGAACCTAGGACTACAAAAAGGGAATAAGGGTACTACTGGGCATCCTAGGAATTCAAAGCCCCAAATCCAAATAGCATAGTCCTCGACTCCCTCGACCCAGAAGCTCTGACCATAGTTATCAGTAGAATTATAAGATAACTCCACTTATAACTACCCATGAACCTCCAAGTAGACCCTAAACCCTATACCCGTATAGAACCCCGGTAGATCCCTGTAAAGGGAGGCTTAAAGGAACCCTGATAACTCCAAGTAGGCTTTAAATCCTATATCCTTGCAGAATCCCCATAGATCCCTTTAAAAGGACCCTTAAAGGAACCCTTATAACTCCAAGTAGGCTAAATCCTATACCCTTACAGAATCCCTATAGATCCCTTTAAAAGGACCCTTAAAGGAACCTATAGATCCCTTTAAAAGGACCCCTAAAGGAACCTATAGATCCCTTTAAAAGGACCCTTAAAGGAACCTATAGATCCCTTTAAAAGGACCCTTAAAGGAACCTATAGATCCCTTTAAAAGGACCCTTAAAGGAACCCCTATAACTCCAAAGTAGGGACCCTGGCCTGAGTGGGCAGTTCGCCCTGAGAGCCTCGCTTCACAGGGCTTCAGGGCTCGGGGCTCTCCGCTGGCTTAAGGTTTTGATTCGGGGTTTAGGATTTAGGATTCAGGGTTTAGGATTTAGGATTTAGGATTCAGGGTTTAGGATTTAGGATTTAGGATTCAGGGTTTAGGATTTAGGATTCAGGGTTGCACTTGGATTTAGGATTTAGGGTTTAGGGAGTAGGGCTTATGGGGTCTATAGGGCTTTTCGGGTTTAGGGTTTATAGGGCTTATAGAGGTTACAGGGCTTATATAGGGCTTATAGAGATTATCAAGGGTGTAGGGCCCAAGTGGTTAGGATGGGATGTCGCGGCTTTGTGGGCTCAGGGCTGGAATTGGACTTTCAGGCTTTCGGGTTTGGGTTTGACCTGCTTTTCATCGCTCCCTAGCCCATGGTTCTCAGTTGGGTGTTTCTGGCTACGTCTATAACACTACCCATATAGGCCCCATAGTAGTTCCTTTTTGGGATTACCTTCTAGGATTTTACATATGAACCCCAAAAAGGAACTGCTGTGGGGCCTAATCTTCGATTGCTCCAGCTAGTGCGGGTTGGTGCTTGGGGCCTGGGGATGGAAATGGTTTGTTTTGGTTTTAGGCGGGTCGGCAAATGGGACTTGTCCTTGAACTCACGAACAAACACGGTGCAAGCGCTGACAATGATACTTACAACTGGGCCGGAGAGCATGCAGATGCACCGTAAACGCCTACTTGATTCAGGGTGTCTTTGGCCCCGTCCCCTCCGGCTGGGGAAACTTGGTGCGTGGCTCGCAGTGGAAGATTGCCATCTGGGCATGGTTCGAGCTATATAAAGCACGGTGTTAATCTATCTCTCTCTCTCTCTCTCTCTCCCTCTCTCTCGCTCTCTCTCTCTCTCTCTCTCGCTCTCTCTCTCTCTCTCTCTCGCTCTCTCTCTCTCTCCCTCTCTCTCTCTCAGAAAACTAGATAGACCGATAGATTACTTTACCCAAAATCACATCCTACATCTGGGTCGCGGCACAGCAAAGCTTCACATCTGGATATAGTCACTTGGTTGCCTCCGTTAATCAGATAAGCACATGTTGCACATAACCTAGTCTGTAGACTCCAAAATCTGCATCCTAAAGCCTCCTCACATAATCCGGAAACAGCAAGCAGACAACTGCAGTTAACTCTGGGCGCTAGCAGTGCCCCATGTTTCGACACCATTCTGTACCCACTGTTCTGTATTGTGCTGTGCTTGTTGCCGTTTGGATGCCAAAACCCCCATATCTAAACCCCCGCAGAACAAGTTGTAGCACCCTACGTTGCACCTCTGCACCTCCCCAACCATCATCACAGATGCTGTTAATGTTGAGCTGGGCATCTGTCAACTTTCCTACCAATTGCGCTAAACCCTGCAAGCCCCAAAACCCTTCCGAACCAGCACACAATCAGAGAGCCCAATACCCCTTAATTAAGGAATATAGCTTAAATCATAATATTAATCCCCTTATAATGTAAGGTATATTCCATAATGAAGGGGTATTGGGCTCTCTGGGCAATCCTCTGGAATCGCAGAGCTTCGCAGAAACCCCGCTTTTATTAGCTCTGCGGCCTGGCGGGAGCTCTGTGAAGGCCGGCAAGACGGGGGAGGGCCCGCGGAGCTCGCGTGCGCAGGAAGGAGGCCATCTTGCCTTCCAGCTCAGGCTTTCAAAACCTCGGGGGTGGAGCTCCTTAAATCCGAAACAATG